ATACAAGATGATGAGGGCCTGGTGAAAGTTTTAGCTCTGTGGATAGAGAGGAAAGATCAGAACATAGAGAACATGAGCAGGGAGAAGCAGCAAGATAAAGACTTGGACTAAATTCTTTGGAGCCACACCAAATTATGCTAGCTGATTATATGGCCCCACACTTGACAAACTCTGCTCTTGGTGCTACTGGGAATCAAGGTCCTTTGGCAAGCAATATATTAGGCATGCTCATTTATTAAAGAGATTGTACATTTATATCCATTTTCATATGTTCATTTACATGTTTAATATTCTATGGTGATATTCCTTTACATGTTTCCATTGCAGGTTGCACCTCTGAAATCTGTCACTTTCTGCTCTGGCAATATCTGTGGTCCAGAAGGACCATGGATGCTTTTGGACCAAAGACTCTGGGAGCTTAATGGCAGGAAGGCCAGCAGCCTGGCCAGGGCTGGGGGCAGCAGGGCTGGAGGAGCTGCACAGCATTGCAGGGACTGGGGTCGTAGAACCCTGGCAGCCCATGGCATTGCAGAGCCCGGGAACCTTGGCTGTCCACAGCAGCGTAAAGCCAGAGGCTGAAGAAGCCCAGCAGCATGCAGCTGTGGCCCATTGGGTGCAGGGCCAAAGAAGCCCATCCACCCGCAGCAGTGTAGAGCCAGGGACTGGAGAGTTTTAGCTGCCCACAGTAGTGCTGAACTGGGGAAACATGGCTGTCCATGACAGCGCAAGGCCAGTGCCAGTGCTGGAGAGCCCATGGCAACCCGGAGTTGGGGGGCAGCAGCAGCATGACGGACAGCCCAGCTGGGGAGGGAATAGAGGGGGCCAGTGGCAGGAGGCCAGCAGGCCCCAGGCAGGTGGCAGGGGACACCTCCCCTGGTCTGACAAATTCTCTGACTGGTTCTGAGAGTGCTGGACCAGGGAGGTCCAACCTGTAGAATGCAAACTGGAAAATGTAATGTGAGGGCAAACAACTATTGTTTGCTCTTAAACACAGGGAGGCTGTAAAGATCAACCTTTGTCCCATGTCCAGAGACTGTGGTATTTATAGCAGGTAGACAGTGCTGTCAGCTACCATATATATATTTATTTGAGTGCCATGAACATAATTAAAAACAAATATTTGCTAGGCAATAAAATCATGTTAAATGTTAGGCTCATGTTAAATTGTAGGGTCTTCAGGAGAGAATTAACTTAATAAATATAGTCTATTTCCAGTGCTTTGTCTGTATAGACAATAAATATTGACTCAGTTTATTTTTCCATTTATTACAAGAACTAAAATGAGGCAAAAAGCAAATCCTTCTCCTGTGTACAAATTACTCTTGAACATAATCATTAAGCAGTAGGCACGTCTGTTTATACAAAATAGTTACTCTGTGTAGTCCACACAAACACCTCTTAGTTCAGAGAACAATTCATAAATACTCTTTTCTGCTGAATTAAGGAGAAGAATTTACAGTCTGTATCTATTTCCTCAGAATTAGGAAGGATACAGTTTTTTGTAAATTTTATATATCCTTTGTACCCCAGGGCCTTGCCTGAATGAAAACATTCTCTGTAACACAACATTTATTGTAATTTTGATATAAATCTTCCATGGTGATTTTGTGTCTCTTTATATCCCAGTCCTGCAATTGAAACAATGGAATGTTCCATGACGGTAAGGGATCTTTGTTAGTGAATCTGATTGCAAACTTTTAATATCAAATGCTGTGTTATAATGGCGCCATTCACGCTGCAGTGTACTTAGGGTTATATCACTTTCCCATGAAATCTTTCTGTCCACCAAGATTATTTATTTATATTAAGATAGTATCTAGAGACCTCATACAAGGGTCACTGCCCCATAATACTAGCTTTATGCTGAGGATACATGTAACAGAGACTCCATTCCTGCCCTAGAGCTCTCAGAATCTAAATGACAGACCGGATTAAATAAATGGATAAAACAAACAAACAAAAAGATTTGGAGTGAAATTCTGCCCTCAAGGAAATCAATGGCAAAATGCCCATTGACCTCAGTAGCGCCAGGCCTGGACAGAGAATGAAGTTGTTGCTTGGGGGAGGTGAGCTCCCTAGTCTGTGGCCCTGCCCATATGCCATTGCTCCTCTCCACTGTCTCCTTTCTCCCCTCCTCCAGTACATCCCCTTGTAGCCAAATCCCTGAACACAAATGAAGCAAATGACATTTGAAAAAAACAACTCTTCTATAATTTCTTTTTCTTTAAAAAAAAAAATCAATTATGTTTTCCCCTGCATGCCAGATTGTGAGGACTGGACATACAGAAGGTACCTAATTAAAAGCTCTAAATCTGGGAATAAAAAAAATTCAGTTACAGGTTTTTTGATATATTCCTCTGCAGTTGATCAGAGATTTATTTGCAAAAACTTTGTATTAAGGGCAAGTCAGCTGTCCTGCTGGTCCTGCTGAATACAGCAGTCTGGGCAAGTACTGGACAAACAACATTATAAGAGCATTGCACAGCTTTAAACGAGCATGAGCTTGAATAAATAAGCAACATAATAAAGGAACAAGCGTTAACTGGGACAAAGTTAAGCGAGAAGTTACCATATTATAATATACGTGGGTCGGCAGCAGCTTGTGTTTCATTGTGTCTGAAATAGGATTGCCAGATGGTTTCAACAAAAATACTGGACACACTTGACATTACATCACCATCTACAGTGCATCTTATTTAGAAAATACTGGACATTTATATTTTGTCATTTATATTTTCTCAATTTGTTTCCCGAACAGAAAGCTCAAATACTGGATTGTCCGGTTCAAAACTGGACACCTGGCAACCATAGCTGCATTGATGTTGAATAGTATCTGCATTAAGATATGGCCCCTATAGCCACTGCTGTGAAGACATCATCTTTTATTGCCACTAGTACTGTTGATCATTCAATAGCTAAGTCTTTGTATTGCAACTATTGTATTATTGTCGATACATTATTAAATAAAAAAAACACCACAATGTGCAGTTCTGACACTTTACACAAGCAGAATTACGCAAGATATACACCTAAGGTATATTCACATAAATATTTATCATCCTATTAGAACTCAAATTAGCAAACTCAAGCTATGTATTTGCAGCAGCGATATTTCAGAATAACTTCAGTTATTCTGAAATAACAAAGTGCATCTACACAGCAAGTCATTATTTCAAAATAAGACGACTTCTTACTCCGACTCCTGTAACCCTCATTTTATGAGGAATAAGGGAAGTCGAAGGACGTGTGTTTTTCTTTCAACTTCCTGAAGTATAGACAGTGCCAAAAGCTGAATTACGCTATTTCGACTTAAACTACGGAATTGACATAGCTGAAGATGCGTAGCTTAATTCGAATTTTGCCCTGCTGTGTAGACGTGCCCTCAGGGAATTGATAGATAAGATCCCATGGGAAGCAAATGTAAGGGGGGAAAACAGTTCAAGACAGTTGGCGGTTTTTCAGAGAGACATTATCAAGGACATAAGAGCAAACTATTCCCTGTGTAAGAAAGATGGGATGTATGGCAAGTGACCAACCCAGCTTAGCCAGGAGTTCTTCAATGATCTGAACACAAAGAGGAGTCCTACAAAAAGTGGAAACTAGATCAAATTACAAAGGTTGAATATACATGAATAACACAAATATGTAGGGACAGAATTAAAGTAGGCCCATTGCTCATTGAGAAGTGAAAAACAGTAACAGCAAATGTGGAAATGGCAGAAGTGCCAGTGCTAATGACTTTTTTGTTTTAGTTTTCACCAAAAAGATTAGTAGCAATTGAGCATCTAACACAGTAAATCTACTGAAAATGAGATAGGATCAGAGTAGGGATGGTAGATAGTGTATAATTGAATAATTATGTAATCACATGTTGTCTTGTCTTTTACTCTGCTGAAAAAAACTCACATTCCCTGGAACCCAACCCTCCCTATTTATATTGTTTCACATAAAGTAGCATTTTTCAGGAACATCACTACAACGTTAAGTGAGGAGTTACTCTATGAGTGAAATAGTAATAGAGATGTAGCCGTGTTATTCTGGTCTAGCTGAAACAAAAGACAGGACTATGCAGCACTTCAAAGACTAACAAGATGGTTTATTAGGTGATGAGCTTTCGTGGGCCAGATCCACTTCCTCTGGCATGACAATTGGTCATGCCAATTTTCTTCCACAATTTGATCTGAGGAAGTGGATCTGGCCCACGAAAGCTCATCACCTAATAAACCATCTTGTTAGTCTTTGAAGTGCTGCATAGTCTTGTCTATTGTTTCTATGAGTGAAGTAGATGGATTGCACTGCAATCTCCCTACTCAGTCTCTTGAACAGGATCCAGAGAGAAGGTGAGAAGTAACTTCTCTTGTTTTCTGGAATGATTGACATATGTCATTATTAGTTTTATTTTTAAATTGACATTTTAGATGAAAATGAAAATGAAAATGAAATTGTCCAACTGGAATAAATGACCTCCAAAATATCACTTTTTGAAAGCTGATATTTTTTTGTTTGCAATTTTTTCACTCCTTTCCATTGAGAACTGGAACATTTTTTTAAAAACAAGTGTTATGTAACAGACCAAGAGATCGTTAGAAAAACATGTGCAAGCATTATGCCTCTAGATCTGTTCTTAACTTTGCTCAGAAACAAAGAAGACCAGCTTAAATATTAAAGTCAAGAAAATGAAACATTCATGTGCTGCAGCCTGAAAGTGTTGCTGTAGCTGAAAGTAACCTGCCTGCCTGAATAAGCTTGGAAATCCACTGACAATTTATATGTTGTCAATAAAGCCTGCATTTAGAGCACAAATACTAACTAATCAGACTAAATAAATCAGCAGACCCAGGTTTTATCTTCACAGATAGCCCTCATTAATCCAGTGAGTCTTTTTCTGAAGACAAAAGAACAAATGAAACGCTTCATTTGGGTTGCTTGAATGGAATGCTAATGATGGGAGGTGAAAATACATTAATTATTCATGCCTGTCGACTTAGAAGGCAGATCCTGGCTTTTCCTGTTACCATTGCAACAAGTGGCTGCTGGCCTAGTCAGAACAAGGCCAGAAAACACTGCAACTCAAATAGACCAGAGATTACAAGTATGCCTTCTGGAGAAAAGAAACCCATGTTTCTGAACTGTACAGAACACATTCAGCTGGATTTCAAAGCTAAACCTTATGCAAAATGGACCCCGGAAACCAAGCCTTTTGTGTGTCAAATTTATTTCACCATAAACTACTCTTCTTGGGAGAAAGAATGTTGCTTGGGTAAGTTTGTACATGTTGAGCTTTTCCAAATTAATTGGAAACTGTTTTAGATTTCATGGCAAATCCAATGTGCAATAATTTTCTGTGTGTTGCAAAGGAATATTATATAGCTTGCCTTGTTTTTATTTTTTTTAATATATTTTTAAAAACATAAAAAGGATAACACTGGTGACCTACAATTCTGCACATTGTTTTAACCTTAAACAATATGAAACAGCAATTGTTTTTAAATCAAAACTTCTAAGAATTTCAGTGTTGTTAAAACCAATTTTCCCTGACTCTCAAATCCTAATTAGATTTAAACAAAAATAAATCTTTGATCAAATATTTGGTGTCTTCTAAGAGAAAGATAGATTAATATAACATAGTGGTGAGGCTAAAAGAAATCAGAATAGTATTCTGCATAAAATATTTCCATATTCTGCTATAAGTTGCATATCATATACACCTTGTATTATTGCTGGTGTTTTGTGCACTAAAACACATTTTTTATTCATATGGGAATAAAAATAGAGAACAGTATAACATTCCTATAGGTTACATATACTATACTGATGTACTACAAATTAGTTGAAAGGAAAGTTAGTAATTAATATTATTTTTCTAAAGAAAGAAATGACAGATGTAGTGCATGTAAAACACATAACAATGGGGAGGCAGTGTTTGGCATCTGATTTCATTAGAATAAGGAAGAAAAGCATCTGAAAAATTTCAATTGTTAGCCAATACCACTACAATAGTAACATTTTCCATAGTCTTGATTGAGTAAGGAAAAAAATCTCAGTATTTAAAATAGTAATCATATTATTCCGATAGAGCTCATAAGTCAATTCACTTAGTAGAATATTTCATAATAAAAGAAACTGGAAATAAATAGTGTCTAAAATGAAAGGCCAAAATGTGTTTAACTTTCTCTTGTGAAAATATTTTTTTGGGTTGTGTGCGTGTGCATAGTCTGCTTTTGATGTATTTTGCCATAACTGTCAAAGTGGAGAAAACCAACCCTTTTATTTCATATTCCAGAAGTATTAAATTTATAATAGTTGAAAAGAACAAATATTTGCATATATTAAGGCAACATAATAAAGTAATTTGGTAGGTAAATTTTAAACAAAAAATGGTGGAAATAAGGATATGTATGAAGAAAGAGCAACACTAATATGGAGTGTGTTCTTGCAACCCTTACAGGACTCTTCACATAAGTAGACCTATTGTTTACAACCAAATTACATCAGTTGGGATTGTAGAAGAGGCTATGTGTTTTTCCAGGAAATAACTGATTGTCTTATGTCACTGTTGTGCAATGTAATTTGAACAGTTTTTTTAGTGATGTGTTTTTAAATGCCTTAAAGTGTTGCAATTAAATTAGAGTTCACGGAATGTCTTTTTTGTTTTTAAAAGTACAAAAAAGAAAAATGGAACAATATATTAGATGTGTCAGTAACAAGGTACAAGAAACACATGATTTATTGTAGAGATGTGCTACCAGTGGAACAGCACTACTCACCTTAATTTATTTTATTTGTGGAATAGATTAATTTTCAGTACATGAAGCATGCAAACTTTGCCTTCCTTTACGCTGGTGAGGGTGCATCATTTAACACAGAGAACACCATGACACCATCTCGAGCAAACTATAAGCATTGGACTGTAGCACAGGAAGAACTGGTGTTTCTCCCCAGTGAAATATAATGACTCCATGCCTGCCAAGACTTCATAGTTATTGTCTGGCTATGCCAAAAGAAGGAGAGGAGACATTCAATATAGGTTTAATCAGGCTGCAAGTTTATTATTAGATGTCTAGGTCTATCCAGCAGAAAACATGTACAGTGCACTTAATCCTCCCTTGTTTTCTCCCATAATTAACCAGGTGGCAGTGCCTTTACTAGTGCCTCCCCCCGCCCCGCACTTTTCTACTGAGGGCCTTCCTACTGATCCATTGCCAGGACTCTAGAATTCCCAGGGAGGAGGGATTTCAACTAACTCCCCGTCCACCATTTCCATACAGATCCCTCCCAGCAAATCCATTGCCTGGACCTTATTAATCACCTCCTCACTATAATGATAGGTGTTGACTCCATGTCATACCACTCATAGCTCGATCAATCACTGAATACCTCTCCTTAAATCATTTTTTCCAAGACATCTATCCATTATTGTTGCCTTCTTTTATGGAGTACCTGCATTAAACATCCACTATACATGTAAATAATGAGTTGCAACATGTAGCTTACCACCTGCTATGTTCTGCATGACCAGGGCCCACCTGAACCTGCTGTGAGGGAGATGAAAAAACCCCTGCACCAATATGGTGGAAAGGGAATTCTTTTCCAGCCTTCCTCAATGGGGTGGCTAGTATAATGCCCACAGCAGATATAATCAATAAACGAGTATATTTGCCACCAAAATAGGGAGGGAGGGTAGGTGCTGCCAACTCTGCTCTTTGAATGAGGGGAGGGTCCCAGCACAGGCTGGCGTTTTAAAACTCTTCGTTCCTGGGTGATGAGTAAGCCATCATGCTGGCCTCTTCTCCAACCATTTTATGTCTTTCCTTTCCATGCCCTAGCCATCAAGAATTGCTCTCTTCTTCTGGCCAGCCCAACAAACGACCCCCAGCTTAAGATGCAGGTGATTAGTGGAGATGGACCTCAGGACCTTCTACACCAGAAACACAGGTTCCAATCATTTGGGCTAAATGAAAGGGTCCATCGGGTAGGCTTAGATCACATTGTGGAATGGAGCTGTTGGCCAGCATTAGTGATGATGTGGAGTCACGTTGCCCCATGGGAAACTCAAGAAAAATGGTGCTGCGGGGGGAGTGGAGGGCAGCTGCTCACTGATCTCTCCAGAGTCCCAGAGAGATTGCACCATCCCTCTGAAACAAACGTGCTTCATTATCCATGAGACAATACAGAGAGGAGTCCTATGGTATAAAGCCATTTGTGGGGGCTTACAATCTCCACAGTTGCACGGTGACTAAGGGTATAGTACTACTACAGTGGCATACCTGCAGCTGTGCTGCTGTTGTGTAGCAATCAGAGGGGATTTTCTTTCACTGTATTAAATCTACCCACTTAAGAAATGGCAGCTAGGTCAATAGAAGAATGCTTCTGTCAATGTAGCAGTGTCTACACCAGAGCTTAAATTTGAATAGGCATGTCTCATGGGTAATGAATTTTTCATATACCTGAGCATTGTAGCTAGGTCAACCTAAGTTTTAGGTGTAAACCTGGGATAAGATTGCATTGTCGCTCAGTCCCTTATGCACAAACAGACACAAGTTTCCATAGTAACCTATCCCATAGTGTACAGGGGCTCAAATACCCTGCAGGTGGATAACTAGAGCTGATGTGATCACATGCACTTGAAGAGGGCAGGGGAACATATGAACCCTCTGTGCACTAACCAGTAAACATTACAATGGGAGATTGTGAAAATTCATCATTGAGAAACTCTGTATGATGATAACAATAAGAACAAACAGTCCTAGAGAACTCTTGGTACCCTCGATCTGAATGGTAGCTGTGATAATGGAGCTGTTGCTGTTGAAATGTAAACATACCAGTAGTTGCAGTGATAAAACGTTCACATTATGGAAACATTCTCCTGTGTACTTTGAGAGGACAAGAACAAAATGGAAGAGCAGTACTATAAATACCACTAAACAGTAGTGCTTTTCTAATTTTTAATCTATTACATGAAAATAATTCTGGTCACTCTTGGGTTAGTCCTGAGTTTTATTATATTATTTTTCACTCCTCATATGCATAATTGTTGCATCTTTGTCTTCTAGTGTTTCTCATTTCTATGTTGCTTCAATTTGTTTACAAATTGTAAAATAAAACAAATCAATAGTTTAATACCATTGCAATAACTGAACAAGAATGATGATGTGAGTAAAGATGATTCTGGGGGGATCGGATATGTAGTGTTTCTTTAATTACTATAGGGTTCAATCCTGTAGCTCTCTCTCAGGTGGTCAACAGAATAATGTGTAAAATCCACAGCCCTGACCCTGTAGATTCATACTATTTTTAGCTGAAATATAGAGATTTCATTCTGACCTTTGTCTAGTGCTCTCCTTCTGGTGGTGGCCATGCTGACTTCAGTAGGTATTTCAGTAGTCTTTGATATGGCTGAAAATGAGTTTTTATTTAAATGCCTATGGGAGCAGGTGAAAGAGAATGAGGCTGCTCTAGAATTTCTCTGCTCATTCAGAGACGTGCAATGGTAGTTGCTTATCTTGCATCAAGAACTCTGCTTATGGAGAGCTACGAAGTGTGGGTCACTTTTCCTTTTTAATTAGCATGTGAACATAGGGATGGCCATACTGGATCAGACCAAAGGTCCATCTAGCCCAGTATTCTGTCTTCCAACAGTGGTCAATGCCAGATGCCTCAGAGGGAGTGAACAGAACAGGGAATCATCAAGTGATCCCTCTCCTGTTACCCATTCTCCACCTCTGACAAACAGAGGCTAGGGACACCATTCCTACCCATCTTGGCTAATAAGTATTGATGGACCTAACCTCCATGAATTTATCTAGTTCTTTTTTGAACCCTGTTAAAGTCTTGGTCTTCACAACATCATCTGGTAAGGAGATCCACAGGTTGACTATGTGCTGCATAAAGAAAAACTTCTTTTTGCTTGTTTTGAACCTGTTACCTATTCGTTTCATTTGGTGACCTCCTAGTTCTTATGTTATGGGAACAAGTAAATAACTTTTCCTTATTCACTTTCTCCATGTCTGTCATGATTTTCTAGACCTCTATCATACCCTCACCCTCTTAGTCTCCTCTTCTAAGTTGAAAAGTCCCAGTCTTTTTAATCTCTCTTCATAGGGGACTCATTCCAAACCCCTAATCATTTGTGTTGCCCTTTTCTGAACCTTTTCCAATGCCAAGATATCTTTTTTGAGATGAGACAACTACATTTGTACACAGTATTCAAGATGTTAGTGTACCATGGATTTATATAGACTCAATAAGATATTCTGTCCT